AAGCTTGCAGCATAACTTGACGTTTTGCTTTTTATTTGTAATGTATTTGTTAAAACTCTGTTAAAACCTCAGTTGTTTCCTAAGTATCCTTAAATATCTGATTGTTGCTAGAGGATTGTTGCTAGAGTTGAGATGTTCACTGAAACTATAATATAAAGTTTCTTCCTTCTATAGATGTAACCTTTCAGTGTCAGTATACTCATTAAAAATATTGTTTGACTGTAATGGGCACCTGGGATAGTGTTTCAAAAAATGTCATCTGAAAGGTCAGATCAGTCTATTCCATTCTTTCCAAGAAAATATTTGCCTGCCTTGGCATGATGTTGCGGTGCCAAAATTTAACAATCTTGAGCAACAGATACATCTATTTGTATTTATTTGGCACCTAAATATTCCTGTTATTTGCCACATTATTTACGATGTGTTGGTGGCATTAAATTTTGGAACAGTTTTTGGATGAAGGTTGAACAGTTTGCTTTTTCTTCAGTTAATATGTGTGAGTTCTTACTTACCCTTTCAGAAACAAAGGGTATTTTAATTTTCTTTCATAATTCCATCCCATTCTCAAGAGACAAAACATTCTTGATTAGTGTTAACAATCACATGGAAAATAAGGTAATCTTTGAAGTCTTCTAGGTAAATAGAGAAGAAAACGTTAAGGGAATCAGACTGTTAGGTTCCCAGGTAGGAGCCTAGAAAGGTGTAAGACGAAATACAGAAGTGCAAGATCTCTTTTAACTCTGTATTTATATTACATGGAGTACAGTGTAGGTCCTGATAGCCTAAGCCTCACAAAGGTTGGAAAAGAACCCCAGTGAAAGTTTTTCAAATGGGCGGCTGATACTTTGCTGCAGCCAAGGTACTCATTTATTTTAAGTGGCTTTGCTGTTGACATTAACGCAACATGAACATATCTTTATTTTTACCACATTCAAGTATGTGGGGAATCCCTTATCTGATCTATGCCAGGTGAACAAACTGGTGCCTGAGCTGTAGAATTGGCTGAATAGTGTAACAGTAACTTGAGCATTGGCCAACTTCTTGGCTACCTGCCAGCTTCAATGTCTACTTGAGAAGAGAGTCCTGGCAGGACTGGAAAGACTCTTATTTTCTGAAGGCCACTTGTGTTTTTGTTTTGGATTTTTTTTTTTCTTTTTAAAGACTTCATGTCTGTCCTTAGACTTTTCTCCTATACTTCTCTGGCAGCAGTCTCTGCCAAATAAGTCATTTGCTGTCACGATCCTGAATATGTTGACAAGTGACCAACATCTGTTACATGGGCCTAGTAGCTGTTTGCCCCGTGATTTCTGCATTGTACAGCTTTATATAGGTTCCTCCTCTCTTCCATTTCATCTATACTGTGGTTTGCTTTGCAGATTAAATTAAAAAAATCTGCTTGTGGTTTATCTGAGGGTTACTGGCCCTGTCTAGGAAGCTGGTCATTGATTATGAATCTGGGTTACTGATTATGTCTAGAAAAGCTACTGGTACAGAATGCCATTTGATGTTTACTGCAGACGCTTAGCCTTCATGCTGGGTGTGCTATAGAAAAGGCCAGAGCTGAATTACTTTTGTTCCTTTTTCTGTCCTACTCTGTAGTCTTTGTAGAGAATGATGGAGGAAGAGTTCTTGCACAACACGGTTTGTGTTGTGCAGTAGCTTGAGCTATTGTTGCAAATATAAAACCAAGGTGTGGCCACTTTGAGCTGAACTCTTCCTGGAAAAACAAAACGTATATTTTCTAACAGAAATTTCATCAGAAAAGGTAAAAACTGAATAGTCTGAATGTTTATTTCAAAATATGCTAACGCAGTACTCTAGATTTGGTGTGTATGTTTGAAGAATTGTGTATATCAGTATTTGTGTTTTGAAACAGCGTGATTTTATACCAGTGTTAAAACTAGTGAATGGACAGTGAACAGATTTATTTTTCTTCAGATAGGAACCTTTAAAGGAGAAAAACCTATTATCTTGAGTAACAGAGCAGCCTGTTCATTTAGACTGTTAAGAGAGCCTACAATATGAGTTAGTAGAAGAAATGGATAATTTGTCATTTTGTCTTGTACCTTTATTTGTTTTAATGCCCTGAGAAGGGAAGCCAGGTGAAATGCAGGAAGAATGATGCTAGCAGCCTGTAAGGGAGAGAGGAGTTTAGGGCAAATAGCCAGCAAACAGATTGAAAAATGAATACATAGAGTTGAGACAAATGTTTGTTACCAAGATAGATTAAACGTTTCTGCATCTGGGGACAGGTGTGGATAAAGAAATATACCATCAATACATTGGTTACTAGGGAAATACCTCTTGCTCTCGAGAGTGGCTGCTTGTGTTCCACCAGAGCTATCTGATGGGAGAAGACACGTCTGTTGGAGCCTGTGGCAAGAGTCCACTTTAGAGTTTGTTAGAGTCTGGATTTAGATACTCATGGCCTTTGGAGCTGCATACCATCAAATATTATGAGATGAATTAACTCAGGAGGCAGTATTATGACCTCCTTTATGTTCTGTGAATAAGTGTTGCTTTGATTTTTGGCTATTTCAAATTTGAAACATTCTAAACTGCTAAGTTGTTTTCACGAAGAGGGTTTTAAAATCCTGCATTGATGGGTGATCCTTTCTATGTTGTCTCCACTTGTAAATTCTTGCTGCACATTCATGTGTTCATCTTGCTGCACATTCATGTGTTCATCTTGTTGCACGTTGTACCTACGTGCTATCTGTGAATGAGCGTTTATTGATAAAGCAATTTACAGACCAGACCTTTAGAGCTGGATGAGTCAGTTGTTCTGTACAACTTTATAGGTAATCTTTTGTGTTTGTTCTTTTCTCTTTATTGTAGCCTGGCTGTACAGAGAAGTCTGCGTTGTCAGTTCCATACCAGGAAATGCACTTGCATCATTAGCTGGGCTTCAGAACAATCAATCTTTCACAGCAAAAAAACGTTGTTTTATTTTACACAAAAAAATATTGTCAACATTACTGCAGCAAAACAACTGTTACTCTGTTCTCAGAAGTGTTCCAAGTGTAATGTTTGTGTAACTGACCCTCGCAAATTAGTGAGTGCAGAAGCCCTTATGAAACCACAGGATACTAGAGAATGCTCCTTGGCAGGGATGAGTGCCTCGGGTTGTATTGTTTATATTAGGAGCCATTGTTTATGAAGTGTGTGTATTCCAGTTGGGAGAGGTACGGGTTTTTATCCCATTACTAAAGCTGTGTTAGCCTCTTTTCAAATCTTTTTGTCAGATTCCCTCATTTTGTCCTAGGTGTCTTTCAGCAGGTAATGCAGGAGAGAAAAGAAAAGATTAATAGTCAGGAGACTTCAGAACTGCTGTGAAGTTCTTGCTTTTGCATACTATTATCTTGGTTGGTTTTATGTTTTGATACAGAATACTTGGAGTAACTGAACCCGACAGCTTATATGGAAGATTCTTTAGCTTACTCTCCCAAGAGCTGGCTGAACGTGTTGGAGTTTGCAATCAGGACACTGAGACCGTTTAAAGTATTCAGCTGGGGTATGCCAGGACTAATGGAATCCAGCTATGGGGTTTAACAGCTTTTACATCCAAAATTGGATTTAAAAAATTGTAGAATTTAAAAGATCACTGTAGTATTTACCTGCTGTTTATTGGCTGTTATTTAGAGGAAGAAAATTGAACTGTTTCAATCTCTGTTGACTTCTGCTGATGCAGAATTTTTTTTTTTTATGTTTGTTTCAGCAGTATGACTTTAATATCATTGGATAATAACAGAAAAGGAAGGCTTTTCTAGATTTTTTTTTAAATTTATTTTCATTTTTATTTGAACAGACAAGCCATGATAGCAAGACTTGCATCTGGAGTCACTTTAGCCTTTAAAATGAGTCTGCATTTGAACCAAAGCTAATGATTTGGCTTTGCATTACTCCTGTGAGATTTCAGACTCAAGTAATGGTGTTGTCCAATTTTCACATCTGAAATATGTTGGAAAAGTATGTCTTTTCAGCCTTTTAAGTGAACTGCAACAACAACTTGTATTCTGAATTTTGAATATGAAATTTTTCCCTGGCATTGTTCAATTTTAAACGTGTTAGGGTCTAGTTTGAGCCTTTCTCTGTAACAAATGGATATAGACAAAGACATTTACAGGAGATGGGAATAACTTTCAGATACAGAGTGTTACTTTTTCTAACTCATACAGAACTAGAATTAGAATTAGTTGTGCTCTGGTTCAGGGTATTTTTAGAACAGTATTATTTTAGCACAGGCTGTCTGACCTCTCCTCTTAAGAGGTAACATGAATTCAACTAAACACACAAATGACTAACAGTAATTTCCCAAAAGTTGCTAGCAGATGAGGAATACCTGATTTACGACTAACAGGTAACTTGTTTACATACATTCTTTTGCAGCTTGAAGATTGACTGGTATTCATCTCTCTTGAATTTTATTGGTTTGAAGAGAAGTACAGTAGTTTCACATGTGTGCAGTTTGCTAAATCAGGTCTCTGGAACTTCCAGATTTTTGCACAGGCTCTCAACATTAACTTTTATTTTAAAATCATTGAAATGAAAAGTACCTCCTTTACAGATTTCTATCACTTGCAAGCAAGCAGTTAACTTTTTTTGTAAATAGGCTGCTGCTATATGGGAAGGTGTCTGATTACTTTGCTTTTTTGCATTGTTGTTGGTAATCTACCCTAACTAGGAAAGGGAAGAAAGCAAGCTTATGTTAGCTTATGCTATCCCTCCTTTATTGTGCTTCTGGAAGATTTTGCGAATTCTCAACTTGAAGCACTGTATTGTGTTTGTGGCAAGACAGATGGGATGGGTACAGATAGCTGCATTTTCAAAGCACTGACCGTTAATGTCTGTCATCACTTTGTTAACATACACGGGTGACAAAAGAACTTAAATGAAGGGATTATTGAAAGGCCCAAGAAGTTTTCCTTCTTAAAAATGGTTCCTTGTGACTCAGTTGTTAATGATGAAAAATATTTACAAATATTTTCTTTATTCCTCAGCTTCCATTTGAAATGGAAATTTATTACATCCAGCATGTGATGCTTTATGTTGTGCCCATCTATCTGCTGCGGAAAGGAGGTAGGTTGGTAATTTGCCCTTTGTATGTTGAATTGGTCCCACCCAATGGAACAAGCTGTGCGTAATGGCTAGCAAAGATTTTACTCTTTTTTTCTGAAAATATGTATTACTCTCTTGTATGTTGTTATTTAACAGTTTCTGGTGGTATGCTGGAGTTTGATCCTGGAAAACAGTGTCAGGCACTGAATTAGGGAAATAAAAAGATAGTCTTTTGCCCAAAGGGTTATCAAGAATGTATGGTATAATATGTTGTTTTCAAGACTTTTGCCTTCTTGGAAGCTTCTTGGGAAGTACTGCATCTTAAAATGAGCTCAAAAGATCTCTTTTTATCATTAGATCCCAGGTACATATTAATCAGCCAGTTAGATAATTTCTTGGAATTCTGAAGCTCTAATGAACTGTAGTTGCGCAGATTAGTGAAAAGGGCTAGCTTGCTTGTTACCTTTTCAAACAGGATCACTATCTTGCATTCATTTTACTGTAATATTGCGGTAAGTCTGGGAATCCTAGATCATTGCACTGACTAGGGTTTTTCTAATCATCACCCCTTAGAAGGTAATGGTGTACGTATTCGTTTGGCGTGATGCTTTGTCCCCCTCTAGCGTTGATGTGCCCTCAGTGGCCTTATCTAGTGGAGCTACATTGTTTCATTTAGGAAACAGAAGATCATAACGTATGGTCCAGATGTTCCAGTAGCCTCAATCGACAACCTAGGATTGTGATGCCAAGTAACGGGATACAATTTAGCAAATGCTCAGAACAAACTTAGCCTGTTTGATTCTGGTGAATCTCTTGTATTTTACACCAGCAGCCACTTCCAATCCTTTGTGCTTACTTCACTATAGGTTTGTAAACTTCTTTTTCTTTTTGATTATTGAGTGAAGCTAAGTAAAAATGATCCAAAGAAAAAGTGAAGTACAGTAATTCAGAGATCATTGTTTGTCTCTTACTAGCAAAATATGCCAGCCCTGTTTCATTTTGATGCAACTTGGATAGCACCGTTTGCCAGATTTTTAAAATATACTAAAATACTGATGTAAAAGTTATATAAACTCCTACATTACAGGAGGCTGAAAGAAAAAAATAGCGTTGACAGCCATGTAGTACGTTATAGGCAATGGCAAACCAAGCTCTTGTAATATTACCGTATCACTTCTTTTAATGTCCTTGAAGTTCCCATATAATGTATCATTTTTGAGATATATATTTGTTTTGCATCTATGTTTGTCATTGGATGTTACTTGTGATTTCCCTTTGAATTTCAAAGTAAAGGTTCTCCTGATTTTTCCGTGCCTTACATCTGGGGCTGATGGGACTATATCTGTAGTTTGAAGGGCTTTGTGCTGTACAGTATCGCCATCCTTTGCGGCCTAATGCAGTGTTCTAAATTTTTGCCCTTTATTAATTTCCAGGTATTTGCTGCCATCTAATGTTGACATGATAGTATTGACATTTCAAACCTTAACTTTATTGGCTGCCCTAGACTGTGTAACTGACTTCTCAATTTCTTATGCAGTTGGCTTCTAGTCACCTGACTGACTGCAATACCTCATTAGCAAAACACACATGAACTTTTGTAGTAGTTATGGCTAATGCTGCAGGTGACTAAATTTATGATTGTTGATGGAAAAATACTCCGTCTGAGAGTATTTGTTAATATTTTGTCATTTCCATAGCACCTCTGTTTAAAGCACTTTCTGAATAGATGATACCCTTTATCATATCTTGTGCGACCTGCTCTATTGTCATGGTCATTGATCAGTGTGCAGCTCTATTTCTATTTTTATGATAGAAACTTCCATCGGGAAATCTATAGATTATAATCAGAAGTGAAGGCTAGTAAAAATGGAAAAATGAAAAGGAACGGATAGTATGTGAAAAAGTATACTACCTCATTTTTACTGGAAACCTACTGATATTACTGATTGCCTTAAGAGGATCTCTATCACAATATTAGTATTTCTCTCAAGTGAGTTGAGCAAAAAACCTGAAGCAGAGAGGGCTTATTCAGGCTTATTCTAGACAGAATTGTATGACTGAGTTTTTTGACATACTAATCAAATATCATCCTAATCATGCACACGGACTCAATTATATGTTGAAGTGTATAATTCAGGCGATAATCTTTCTTACAGTTTGAGATCTCCAGCGTTATTTAATTGACTTAACAATAATTTAATGGAATAGAAATGGATACTGGTGTTGGGTTTTTAGTTTTTTTCCTTTTTTTGTTTTTTGCGGCACTTTAAGGAGCAATATGATGTATGAACAGATGTACCTGAAGTTCCAGGAATATTCTTTATGCTTAATCAGAGGCCTTTGTATCAGTATGACTTCAGTGTCGCACAGCGTCGTTGTATGGTTCAGAGAGATTAGACTGTAGGGGGAGCTAGGTCTTTAGCATCCTCTTGGTTAAAATGGGCCTGCAGATTTTCAAAATTCACAATTCAAACACCGGTTGTCCACACTGGAGAGAGTAAACTGATCTGATTGTGTTTTGGGCAGGGGAAAAAAAATTTCCACTTCCAACCAAAAGAGGAGTAATTTGCTACTACATTATGCTTATGTGGAAGTACAAAAGAAGTATTAGTTTCTGTTAAATTCTCTAAAGAGTTTTGCAAGTCTATTTTCTGAGAAGTTTAAATAAAAATAAATAATTAGTAAGGACACTAGAACTAGCACAAGACTTCATGGGGAAAAAGTCAGTATAAAAGAAATTGATTTTAAAGCCACACCTCCGTTTCCTAGATGACAAAATTAACTATTTGATTTGTCAAAAGTCACGTGAATTCTTGCTGCAGAAGCAGATGATGAACCCAAATCTCCTGAATCCATATTAAGTCCTTCCCATCAGTGCTACTGAAATAATAAAGTTTAAACTGAAATATCATTTACCACGCTATTTCAACACAAGAGCGAATATACAGCCTACTTGGATGACCCTGCTCTGGAATGGTCTCAACTGTCTGGGGCATGAACGTTTCTGAGAAGGAGATTAGTGCCAGACTGGCAGTCGGATTACATTTTTTTGAAAGTGCTTAACATATAAGAACTGCCTGTGATCCTTAGCGAATAGAGAGATAGTGAAGCTCACCGCTGCATGTTGAAATTGATTTCCCATGTGAGCCGTAAATAGCTTATGACAAACCCACCACAGGCCATTCAAGCAACCGCTCAGTTGGATCTCAATTTCCCTTTTTGTATGCCATTGTTAACAGACTGTGTGCTAAAGAAAGTAGATAACACTGGTCTGTTAAACAGTCATCTGTTGAACAGCAGTACTGCAGAGTTATAAAATTCACAGTGATTATTTATCTAATGAAAAATGTTCACAAAATATCCCAGGTATGAATTTAAAATTAATATCTCAAAACACGTGTGGGAATCCAGATCATGTGGATTGTGTGTGGAGGTCATTGTTTCCTTTTCATCCCTTGATGTCTGGATAATGGCACTGCTGAATATCATGCTATTGTTCTCAGGATTGCAAAGTCTAGTGAGGGGGTAGTGGGAATCTTCTATTATTTGGTGAGATCAGAAATCTGTGGAGGGTGAGAGTTACTTTTTTTTCCCCCCTCCCTCATCAAGAGAAAAAAGAGGATGTAGTAGTGCAAAATTCTTAGCTGGAAGAACCTGAACAGCTCTCCTAAGGGTCTGCTGAAACGTGATTCTCTTACTGGATTGTTCAAGCTGGATATGAGACACATGGGTTCGAAGCCAAACTATGCCACTGCTCTGCTTTGTAATCTTGGGCAATTTACTTTGGCTCTTAAAGACTGCATTCTCCCTCCAATCCTGTTTCACAGCTAGGATCACTTGTCTATTTTAGTGTTTTATGCATTGCCTGGTCAAACAATGTAGGTCCCTAAGCTGTCCCCCAAATAGCAAGGTCTCTGGATTCTAGCTTTTGCGAATGTTTACCTCTTTAGTCCAGTACCATCTGTTCTCAGGCTTTATAGAATAATTCTGAAATAACATAAGTAAATGTCAACCAGGTGAGTTCATGTGAAAACAAATATGGTATAGCCCTACTCTGCCAGTTCCTGGGAGCTGTTTTAACTTATTTAAATATTATTTTGTTTATTGCATCTGGGTTAAAAATGCACCTAAAACTGCAAAGACAACACTAAAAAACTTTGCAAGTCAAATGACGTTTCTTTATTCTATAGCTGGAGAGGCAGCACAAAAAAGTTTACATACAGCTTGACCAGGTCACTTAAAGTTGGTACCACAGCCAAAAATAGAGCTATGGTCACTTGAACTCTGACACCAAGGCTACTTGCTTCCTCTCTTATTCTCCATGATGAAAAAACACATGCAAGGTGGTATCATGTATCTGCCATCTTCCTGATGTTTTCAGGTAATGGAGTTTAATATCATTGCTATTTACGTAAAGCTTTCTGTACTGGTTTGTAAATAGAATACCCCCCAGCTCTTGAGTCATACTTGCTAAGTATGTTAGAAGTATTAGACTGGTCTGAATTTTCTGCCTTTATAGTTCTATAGAGGACTCTACTTACGGTTATTCATCTCAAGTTCACTTTTAACTTTGGATTTTGCTTGTAGTTCAGACACTTCTCTGACCTTCATCTACCCACTGGATAAGAAATCTTATAAGCTGCCTTATGCTTTCAAAGGAGCTTCCCTGCTCATATTTGTCATGGTTGCATCAAGTCACAGTTTACTTACTTAAACATGGTGTGCAGTTGTGTTTTGGGTAAAATTACAACAATGTTTTTGCTTATTAACTTCACAGTGAGGGTGATATATGGGGTGCATATGGGCTACTGTCGTTCAAGCATACAACTAACTTCTTATTGCTCTCTGCTGACTAGGAACAGAGCGGCTATGTTATTTTTAGTGGACAATGGATAGCTCTCCTGCTTTAGAACGTAAAGTGTTGGTAATTTTGGGAAGAATACTGTAACTTTCAGAAATTTCCATTTAGATTAGATTGACTTTGCTGTAGCTACCTGAAACTAAATTAGCGTGACAGCCAAAATTATAGAAAAATAAATGCAGAAAAGAACTGTGAAAGGGCAATAAGGATTGAGGAAGCAGTCCTCTGGTGATTTTTAAACAGAGAGCGTGCAGCACTAAACGGTGGTGTGGTGAAGCAGGCAAATGGAGTTATTTGCCTTTATCTTCATAGGATACCATACACAGGCGTGTTCATACCAGCTTTAGTCTAGTGAGTACGGTCATAGCTACCTACACATGTACATCATAGTTACTCTCAGTCCCCATTAGGCTTGTACAGCTAATGCTGAAGTCTATTGAATCTTTACGGTTATTGCTGAATGTGCTAGCTAGTGAAAGCTAATATGAATATGCCTGTCTCTGCTATAAGGCATCCTTTGACTAATGGATATACGTATCAACATTTGATAATATCTAACAGGGCAGAGAGCAAGCAAAGGCAGATAAAAACGACAGTGTATTTTTATAGTTGTCTACAACTTTTTACAGAGCCTGAGCAGCGTGACTGCGTGCATCTTTTTGTGTGTGTCCGTCCGTAGGTTATTAAAGTCATAAGGAAAGTAGTATTTTCCCCATATCTTTCTAACACGTCTGCTAGTAAGACTTGGACAACTCTGTAAACTGTTTCTGTTCTTGCCATATGTTTGAACATCTAATTCTAAAATTTGTCTTGCATCTAAGGATATGTTTGTTAGAGTATTATTACTTCTTTGGTAAATTCTAGATTATGTGACATTGTGTTTTTTCACTAAATTGCCAAAACTCAGTTTCAGGAGGAGAGCCCAGAAATACTGTGGTACCTGCTGCTTCATTTGAGGGGGAAAAATATTTCACAGCATCTGTGATATCTACTGAATATAAAATTAATTGTTTGTAGTATATATTTGAGAATATCTCTATAGCAGCTCTTGCTTAAGAGCACAGTCTGCCAATAATGGATTTTATAAAAGTTTTCTGTTCCTATGCGTTATTGGTGCAAATTACTTGAATAGATGTCAGCCAACAATAACGTCTAGGAAAAATAATAATGTAGGAAATGCCTATCAGGCTACACTCTAATACAGCATTGCGCAGTAATTGTCACTACCTGGGTTAGTTCTGTACTTGGCTAAAGTCACAGCTCCCATAAGAAGCAGGTGTTTGAGCACAATTAATAACCTGATTTTGAAGACTCCATTGCATATACCATTACAGTATTTTAGATACATTTAGTACTTCTGTGTTAGAAGACAAAATAAAGTAAAAAGCACTGGTGTTGGTGGAAAATAGACAAGCTTAATGAACTAATATATTGTACATTTTTATGTTGGAGCAGAAGGAGAGAAGAAACTGATTTGGATGCTCCGGGTAAGAAATAAGGCTCTCAAATATTAATTACTATAACAGTAGTCACTAGGTTATCAGCTAAAACCAGACACCCCAACGTATAGAGGAGAAAGGAGAGGATTTTTCCTGAGTGTTTGGGCACAGTAACTCAGCTGAATGTTAATGCGTTCCTTTCTTTTCAAGGTATCTACACTCCGGAACCACTCTCCAATTTCTGGTGGGCTCTTCTATCTACTGGGCTTATGTTTGTATATCATTTTAGCATCTTGCAGATTCTGGGATTGGTGAGTAAATGCATTTTGGTAAACGGATAGTTTGCAAGTACATTCAAAGTAAAAACACTGAGTAGTTTTTCAAAGTGTCAATGGATTAGTCACACAGATAAGATCACTTGAATGCAAATTTTTAATTGCATGTCCTAATGGCCATTTGTATCTCATATTTCACAAGTAGCGGTAAAACTTTCCATAAATCAGCTATGCACCTGTATAAATCCATCTCTTAAATGCGTTCAGATTTGCTTTCCTTCTGAAAGCTGGCCTATTGATATTGAACAAAGGATTGCTAGCTAAACACTTGAGTACTATGGTAATAATTTGAAAATTACCATTTTAGGTGTCTGAATCAGTGCATCACAAAATATTACTAGTTTATAAATTTGTTGTCCCTTTCCTAGGTCACAGAAGTGAATTTGAACAACATGTTATGCCCAGCCATCTCAGATCCTTTTTATGGGCCCTGGTATCGAATCTGGGCATCTGGACATCAGACTGTCATGACTATGACTCATGGGAAACTTGTAATCCTACTGTTTTACAGTGCTGTCCCCCTCTTTAAATGTAGCATGGACTTGTTTAGACTCCCCACTAAGAAAATAGACTGAAATTTCTCCTCAGGGAATAGTACATACAGGAAACAAGATACACCTATACTCATACTGGAAAAGAAAGAGGAGGGATGAGAGGACTGTGTGTTTATACTTCTTCCTGCAGTTTATTGCCTCAGAAACACCTTTATAATCAAGTGAGTGTTTTTTCTTTTAACTGCTGTTTCTCACCGTCAATTGCCAGTGGCAAAATTAGTGGCCTTATTCTGGAAGTGTTTCGTGTTTTATACGTTTTGTGTCGATTACATTAGAATCTTGCTATGCCACCCTTTAAAATTAGGCCCAGGATCTGTCCACATTCCAGCAAAGAGATTGTCAGCGCTACCTCGTTGTATTACTTTTTTCTACTAAATATCCGTACACTTACATCCCAACATAGGAAATAAAGCTGAATTATAACTCGCCACTGATAAGAACAGAGCATATCTTGAAGTGCGTTATCCTGGCTTAACTCTTAGGGCTTGAATGTTGAAAAATGGTCACAGTGAAGAAATGTACACTGAATCTCCCAGTGACAAGTGTGAAACAATGAGGTTCTACTGTATTTTTCATTAAGCTGGTTGAAAATATTGGAGAATAACAACAATAACTTGTTAAAAACAATATTTGGAACCACAAAAATTGTTGTAAAACTAAAAATTATGTTTTAACCGACTACTTTGTTTCCAAGCTGCTGTGGCTAGGTCCCACTGTGTCTTAAAGCTTTGGAAATGTTTTTATTTGAGTGACTGGAAAAACACCAGGTTGAAACAATTTCAAAAAGCTGTGTAACATGTAAGCTATTATAGGTATTTCATCCAGTGTTATGACCTACCTTTGAACAAAATGGTTATTGTCATTTAGCTTACACTGGAGAGAGAGTAGAGATACAAAGTCCAATGTGAACATCAGGTTTTTTTTTATTCCTGCTCTGTGCTCTACACTGATCCTCAGTAGAGTGATTAGTGAGGGAACAAAATGAAATTATTTTCTCCCTACAGCTCTAATATGCTGTGTATACTGATTTAAAAATAAAGGTATAAAAATTAGAGGTAAATTATCCACCCTCTACTGGAGAGACAGTGTTCCAGGTTACTGGTATGACTGCATTTATATTAAGAGATAGCACTGAATTTCTTGTCAACACATGTTTTGGAGTAGAATGGGATGTAAGTACAGACAGCGTTATAAATAGTAAACTGTGTGTACTTCTTCAAATTTTCCAAGTCTAGAGGGAAAAATTTGGGGCAGAAAGATGGGAAATCGTGACCTGTATATATTCAGATAGTTAGTTGTAAGTTCATTTTTTGTGCAGACTGTTGTATTTCAGGGCTGCAGGACTTTTGTTGTACAGAAGTTTGTTGCAATTTATAGACTCTTTTCATTGTATTGTAATAGCTGTGACTTGTAAGATAAAACAAAACCATCATACCTCCTCCTTCAGCTCGGCCACCTGAAGATATATAACCTGAAGTTAAGGTACAGTCATGCATACCTCAAGAAGAAAAGTAAGAATGATAAGTGTTTTGTTTTGGTTTTTTTCTTCCTGTTTTAAAAGAGCAAAATTTTCATTGGAGAGAGAACAAATAGCTTCTCCAAATATTTTCGGTCCACTTGATTTAAAGAACAAACAAACATAAAACCCCCGCCACTGATTCAGAAGTTTGTCCCATGTTCTAATTTACAGACTGCTTTCTGGGTTTCTTCCATTCCTGGCTGTAAAATAAAACATACATACATGTGTTTTTTTTTTTTATATACGTGTATAGTGTGTATACACACACATACACAGAGTGATTTTTTCCCCTCCCCCAGCTACTGTCAAGTTTATCTTGTTTTATGTATTTACTTAAAAATTTGGCAAAATGCCTTGGGTTGGATTAAATCCTGTTTAGAAAGAATGTTTGGTATTACATGAAATTTTGCAGCATTAGCATTTATTGTTTATTTAATTTTAGTTACTATTTTTTGAAGAATCGTTCCTCTTTCCTTATCTGTTGTTTGGTATTACATGAAATTTTGCAGCATTAGCATTTATTGTTTATTTAATTTTAGTTACTATTTTTTGAAGAATCGTTCCTCTTTCCTTATCTGTTCTTAAAAACTAGCTACTGGAAAAATTTGAGTTAGAAAGAGACTGCGACTCTGTTTTTCTCCCTCTCCCCCCCCCCCCCTTTGGAGTGCACCCCCACCCCCTCTTTGGCATGTGCCCTTGCTCACTTTGGCGCATTCCCACGCCTTTCTGTGCCCTCCATCTTTGGCGTACGCCTGCTCCCTTCTGTGTGCTTCTGCACTCTTCCCCCCTCTTCGGCGTGTGCCCCCCTCGCCCCTACTCCCCTTGGCATGCTCCTGCCCTCTTCCGTGCACCCCGTCTTGGGCATGCTCCTTCTCTTCCTCTCTCGCTGCTTCCCTTCCCCACCTCACCGTATGCTGGTTCTGGAGCCTGTTGAAATTTTCTATGCCAATTTATGTTGCTGAGATGGCTAAATGATTGTGTAATTCAGCAAAAATGTAGTGATTTAAACCGACTGCTACAGTCATAAGGGTGTTATGAGTGTTGGAGCTACTGTAAAACAGTGGGATGATGCAGTGGGGATCAGGAGGGAGGGAGGGAAGGCAGTGGAGCCCTCCCTCTTTTTTGACAGTAAGCTGCGTTGGCTCCCTTGCTTGTGAAGTTGTACGCTCTTATCAGTGAGGGTAGGGAGGCGAGTGACATTACTCCTCCCTCCCCCCCCAACTGGCTGAAAGTCAGTTTTAAATGCCGCTTTTTCAATTCGTATTATGGCCCAGCTCCACAAGAAGCTGCATGAGCATAGCTGAGACACAAGCTTCACATGTAGGGAAGAACAGATCAGAGCAGGCTCAGAAAGGGAGCAAGAACTGCTGAAGCCGCTGTGTCATGAACCTTCACGGCCCTTATTCCTCAATTATGTCTGGCGTCTGCTTGGAACGTTCATCAGGCCGATATTGTTTAAGATGCAGGATATTGGTTTGAAGGGGAAAGCAGACTACTTAATCTCTTTGTGCAATTCGTTCTTTTTACTGATAGAGGATGACTTTCTTTTCCCTGAATAGTTTGTTTTAGGGGCAGCTATGATTTTTATGGGTGTTTTTTTTCTTCTTATTTATGCTGGAAATTAAGGAGCAAAATTATATTGCTATTTCTGAAAGCTAATCAGCGTTCTCAGCTGTGGTGTTATGGATACGATTGATGTATGCTGTTGCACTGTACCTGAAGATGTGGTTTTACCCTGTGCTAGTGCAGTGTACTAGTGAAAAGGATGGTCCTGGGCTTTCCTGGTCAACTATTCCTAACTGTTCTTTTGTCTCAATGTTAACAGTTATGAAGACATTAGGATTAGAGATGGTGCTGAACAAGAGTTGGACCATGGCGCCCGATACAGACTATTCATTTCAGCAGTAGCACATGTTTTAGAAATGCTTAAACTGATTGTAAAAAAACAAAAAACCAAAAAAACACTCATGCTCAATCTCTGGATTGATTTGCTGTCCACTGCCAGGAAAAAAAGTATCTGTAGTAGTGATGGCTAGACTGCACAGAGGAGTTTTTTTTATAAGTAGTCAAAGCTTTGTGAACAGAGACCTCTCTTTCTTTTCCTAACTTTTTTTTTTTTTTAACCATAGTAGGCACATGATAATAAACAAAACAAACTATGCTGTCAGTGAAAGACTAAATTTACATTCACTGTCCAAGCATATGCATACGTGCAGCATTAGTAACTACAATAAAATTGTTTACTGATCCGTTTGCTAATGCAGAGTGAGTAAGCAGCGCTCCAAAGCACAAAAGGGAGCCAGTAAAACTTCTGCACCCACCATAATATCTGGCAATAGCCCATGGACATTAAAATTACAGTGCCAAGACTTTAGCTACTTTTCAAGGATTCAGTGTGTGCCGTGTTTGAGCTGTATCTATTTGTTCAGCTTTCTTCTATTTAAACAGCAAAGCAGAAATTCCCTCTTGTTTCCTTTGCAGGGTGAAACTTAACAGCGCTTGGTCATACTAACATAAATCAGTGAAAGGACACAGTCTATGAGCACCCACCTACACTTGGTTCTGGTTCAGCTTCTTAGGGCTTGACAAACACTGTTGATAAGCAAAGCTCACTTGTGCTTGAGCAGATGCTGCCTTGCTGAAGCTGGGAGACAGGAGCAGTCAGTTCATTTGCACAACTTAAGATTACAGAGTACCTCAGCGTAGAAGTTTTATCCCTCTGTCTCTGGCCTCAATCAGGGTTTTGATATTTCTGTATATTTGATAATGTTTTGTAAAGCCTCAATAGTATTTTCCTTTCAGAAATAATAGCTGTTGCAACTATTGTACTGTTAAGTCCCAAGTCCTGTGTCTAAACTGCAGGTGTTGGTTTCCTACACATTTATAGATCATGGAAAATATAGATGTGCTCTTTTTCTTGCTGTTGCAATTGTTTCACTACAGGCAGACTTTTATGAATTAAATTAGTCTTAGCAGTTAAAGCTCTGAAAAGGCCAAAAATCAGGAAGAGGGCATGTCAGCCCTTCTGTTGTGAGGTAGGAGGTTTCAACAGGCAGACAGAGGTCAGCCTTGATGTTTTCATAGTTACAGTGACAAGATACATAACACGTCTGAGTTTTGTGATCTCATACTCAAAGTGATATTGCTATAAATCAGTCTTGCAGCTTTTAACCAAGGTGGTTTTACAAATGATTTTATTTTTCTTCAGGGTCAGTTTTGTACTTTTTTAAAAAATTTATTTCTGCATTTACTGATTCATTATCTCAATGCTGCAGAGGACGCAGCAGGCAGAACAGTGAGCATGCCCACACCACTCTCACCAACGGACCTGTGCTAGGGAGCTGGAGCTGTTCATGCACTGGGCCGAGGCACAAAGCTGTCTTTGGACACTTGCAGCTCCAGTTACCTAACTCTCTTGTTCAGGCATCACGTTATCCAGGCGCCGAATGGAATAGCAGGGGCAAGGATTGATGTGGGGAGGCTGAACTGCCGCACATGCTGTTAGTTCTAAATTATTTGTAAAAGTGTTCTAAATTTTGTAAACTTTTTAATGTGAAATATTTGCAAATAAGGGGTAATTTGTGTATTTGCTTTTGTATTTCGGTCTAATGTTGTTTTTGTTGTTGTACTCTTAAGTCCAGCTCACTGGGCAAATTGTTGTTAAATCTTTATATTAAAAGAAATAAATGCATTTTAAGGGATACTTTACTATTTTGTTATTATTCTAGTCCTACCAGGCACTGTGTGCATCTTGCTTATGACTTTTTAAAACTAGGTAAGAAAACGGAACTTGGCTTTCCACTTCAATTTGTGATACTAACAGATTCCTAGAGGGCCTTGAGTACTTGACAGCTAATCATCAATCAGATAAGAACATGGATTGTACTCTCCTAAGCTGTCTGTAATGCTAGACTTGGTTTACTTTGCATATAGCAGTTCCTTTAAAGGAGAACAATGATTATCAGGATTTCTGGATAGTCTAAGCATTTAAGTAGGACTTGTGCCTACTTGTGGCAATCACCACAGGAGAAACCTGAGTCTACCTTGCTGATAGATCCTTTAAGCAAGGATTAAATATTTCCTGTCCATTTCTTATGGATAAGAAAGCCCAGGAAACAGTATATGATGTCTCTCTGTACTCTCCTTCCACTTTATTGTGATGTAACATTTGAAAATAAGGGGTAATTTGTACACTTGTTTTTGTGTTTGCCACAACTTTGTTATTTCTTTCCTGTCCTGTTCTATGTCACTGCAATAGAAGAACAGAGAATAGAACAGAACATGCACTGAAGATTTCAGTATAAAACTTGGTCCAGAAAACTACTCTAATTAAGGTACTTGTAATGATGGCACTGAAGTTCCATCTCTAATGCACTTCACAAATGTTTGTGGCAGTAATTAAAGGACATTGAAGTATACTGCAACAGTGTTGTGACCCAGTCCACCTCAGACCAGCCGGCATGTAATCATGCCAGTTTCCTGGCAAATACCATTCCTGGAAAGGAAAAATATGCCCACCACTCTGGAGCTTATTATACACGCTTATTATAACAGTTTTAGGTTTTTACCAGTTTGGGAGCAGAATCAATTCCACAGCTTCATTTCTCCCCAACACCGTAAAGACCGATACAACAGCTTAGGCAGAAATCTAGTATAAAGTGCTTTATGGAAACCTGGGGAACACTAACTGATTTCCCTTTCAGTCACTGCTAATTATTTTCTAAATCTCTCTACATCTCCTAATCGTTAATTCAGCCTTGCATTGTTTAATAGCAGCATAGGTAAGCTGCCACCTCTGAAGCATTCTGAATGCTCGGTGTTAGTTTTTCTTTTTTAGTTTAATAGTACATAGCAGGCTGAAGTAGCAAGAACAGCAGGAAACTTTTGGTAGGAAGTTTCACTAAGAATACGTCTCAGTGGACTGTGAGTTTAGACTAATGATACCAAATCTGTAAAATTCTAAAATGACAGTGTAAGCTCTTTACTTGAGCAGCTTTGGCCTGCAGAGTTAATTTTTATCTTCCAAGTAGATGCTTCAGGCAAGCAGAGTAATGTCTGTATCAATCCTCAACATCTAAAGATTACATAGATTTTTAGGTTTTTTTTATTTATTTTTTATTTTTTAAGAATTTGCATCTATGGACAGGAGACACATCTTACATTAGTAAAAGACAAACAAGAACACTTGCAGGGGCAGGCTAAAAAATTCCCGCTGGCTGTGTCTCAATTATCCTACAGAGCGAGAGTGTTACCTTTCATTCATACTCAACAGAAAATGTCTCTCAGTGCAATAAGCATTTAATTCAGGAAACACAATTTTAAAAGTCAGTTTTACCTCTGTCCTGGGTACTGCGTTTTGTCATCATCGCAGCCGGACGGCGGCTTTGTTGCCTCACAGGAACACATGCCTTCCTCCCTCCTCAAACAAACATCCTTTTGGCACGAGTATAGCTGTCTGCGCTGGGGGGAGGTTTGCCAAGCTGCCTCCCCTTCTGCCAGGTGCCCCAGCAACTCTGCCACTAAGCCAGAGTTACTATACAGACACTGAAAACCACTGCTGGGAGTTACAGCTGTTGAACTAAAAGTTCTGGTATGCTCTTCTCACTGGATCTCCTTTCCAAATGGAAACTTAAAAATGGCCGTACTGCCTTAGACTAAAAGTTTTTGGGGAAGGGAAAAAGTCTCCTTCCGTGGCCCGCCATACATTGAAGGAACCCCATAAGTTAACAGAGGCTCCAAACTATAACTGTTTTCTGTAGAATGTGGTCCACATGACTAATCTATACATTAGCTGGAAATGAAATGAAATGAAATAAATCACTCATGGCAATGCAAGCCTTGATATTCTTTAAAATTACACCTTCTACTGTGAGAGTAATATGAAGCAAGTATACTGACATTATTATTTAGTTGAAGGTATTATTTGATATAAAAATTTTGCTGCATACATTCATTTTTCAACTTAATACTACTTATCCTGTTGAATAACATTCCTATTGTACTGCAGGGAAGGGCACTGGTCACACCAGGATAACTGGTTCTACAGCCAAGCTGTATTTTAAAAAAGTTAGAACCACTTCTACCTCTCAGAGAGAAAGGGGCCCAATCCTGGACATACTTCAATGTTTAAAGTTAGACATACGAAGCACAAAACTAGACTTGAAATGCTGATACAAGTTAAGAGTGTTCAGTGACTTACTTCTGAATTAGACTGCAAGCTGCACCTGTCCAATTTGTTCCTATAGTAGGCAAAATGAAAAGACTGAGTTAATCTCAGGGAAACAGTCCTACATCATTAACATTAAAATTAATACAAATTTCAAATGTTTGAATAAAACAAAAGACTGACCAAGCCACACAATTAAGGAGAGAAACATAAAAAGAAATAGTGATTCTTTTTCCTTATTTTATTGGATAAATGATTTAAAAGGTAATAACAATAGTGTTAAAACTACTACAATATCTTTCCACAGCCATATCTCACAGACCCACAGATAACCTTCTATATATATATATTTTTTTTTGCTTTTTTCCTCAATTTTTTTTCTTTTTAAGCCGTACTTATATTAAAATGCCCATTTCAACAGTTTCTTCACACTAAGAGCAATTAAATGTTGAAGGAAGGAGGATCTAGATATAAAGGAAAGGGGTTTCATGTAATCTGTGATATTATTGTATATAATCAAGTTACGAAGGAAGGAAAGAAGGAAGGAAGGAAGGAAAAGAGAGAGGCCTTACAAGCTACTCCAGGTAGCTTTAAGCCTATTGTGTGTCACCATTGCATTATAGATAACTCAAGATGCTGGTGAACAATTCAAAGAATTTTTTTGTAACATATAAAACACTAAAATAACTTAGAAACTAGATCCAAATATTTTGAAAAGAATCAACTTTGATATACAAAAACAGTCATAAGTTGTTACAAAAGTTTCAAACAAAAGTTTGTTTTCTCAGTGCGTTTATGTACCAGCGCAATTACTGGGTCCAGAGCAAAGAAAGAGGTTTTTATTTTTTATTTTTTAACAGTAATAAAAAACGAGGAAAACATATCTTTGTATATAAAGAATCATTGCTGGTCTTAAGAATAAATGTAACCAGAAACCCTTAAATCTGAGAGGCACACTTTGGGTTTCCTTTTTTTTTTTTTTTCCTTTTTTTTTTTCTTTCCCCCCCCCTCCCCCCCCCCAACATAAAAGGAAAGTCACCAGTTTATTTTAATGGAGTAGATACTCAGACTCCCCAAATAAACTTAATTAACATCACTAGCAAAAATCAGTTAGAAACTGTACAAAAATAAAAAAAGTTAACACATTTAATCCTGCAGGGATTTTGTAAGGACTGGAAGGCAGGCTTTAGGAGCAGCATTTGGGCATGGCTGGAGGCTTCTTTGGTTCGATCTAACACACATGAGATGTAACCTACTCCAGACAACAATTTTAAAAACCCGCACATTTGAAGACAAGTAAAGAGGTCCATATACAAACGCCAGGGTGTGCCAGTGGATTTGACTGTCTTGATTAAATAGCAGTATATCTGAGGCCAGAGGTCAGAACTCCAGCGTGCCGTCCCCCTGCTATGAGCAGCATTGGGGTTGAGATGGTGAAACATCAGTGCTACAGCAGTCTGGGCAGAAGGAAGGCCACCTGAAGCACGACTGAGCAATAGTTTCACGTCAGCTCTAGGGGTTTGCTGTCTAACTCGGTTTATAGAACATGGTTTTTAGGAACATTAAGCAAAAGAATCAAAAGAAAATGCTTTTAATGGAATAAGGCAAACTCATTAGTGCTTGTCGGAAGTTAGCGTTCCAACTTAAAAACGGTGAAACAGGCTACTTGGTTGTACCTTAACGTCTTATAAAGTACCCCAAATAATAATTAAAAAAGTCTGTATCTAAAACCAGCAATATATCTAAAAGGGCAACAAACATAATTACAAGGGAATGACATTTTTGAAAAGGTTTCTTGATCAGCTTTAAGCAAACAGACCTATTCTGTCCCAGTGCATGTCACAGTGAACTGCACGTTTTGTACAAATAAACCCACAATTACACAGAAACAATCTGTAGCGTTCTCAGCACTTGCATGCTGAGGAGGTAGGTGCCCTAGAAACACTGTAGATAGACTGATTATTCTAAGCATTTTTATAAAGTATCATACAAATCTGATTGACCATAGACTTTGTAACAGTTTTTTAATTAGTGATACAAAACTCTGGTCCAGAAGGGTCTGGCATTAACCCCTTTTAAAAGCACACCTTTACAGTTTGTATAACACCCTTGAACTATATTTTTAAGCAACAGCTACTGAGATAGACAAAAATGCATTGTGCATTATGCTGTATACAAAAAGGAGACAAAACTATCCTTTTTTCCCCCCCCCAAGCCATGGTGGGAAGTATTGCTGACCTTGTCCTTAAAAACCTGCAGGATTGTTTATTCATCAGTATATCATTATTACACTGGTAAGAAATTCTGTATAACATCTGCATATATCGAAGATTTTTTTAAAAAATCTGATATGATTTTAGATCTGCATGACCAGTCACGTGACCTGCTTGAGGTTGATTAGCACCTTTCAATACATATATATTTTTATATATAATAGATCTTTTTAAAAAACTTCTAACAATGAGCTCATACAGAAGCATGAGCATGCTGTAACGAGATGACAGATAAAGATGGGGTCGGATGACTTTTTTTGCAGCAGACAGTATGATTCAGTTTGTGCTCAGTTTCCCTATAAGGGCAAGGAAAAAACAAAACAAAACAAAACAAACCAACCTCTGTCAGGTAGCCGCTTGTTCACAATTTCCACTTGAAGACTAATCCATTTAAAAATGTTCCCCAAGTAGAAACACAACAGTATCATCCAAAATAGCCTCTATATAAACATCTATTAATTTTTGCAGCGTCTGCCTGGCACCCCTTGCTCCTGAATTTTCAGGCCCTCTGCTTATAAATTAAGGCATCACAACTGAAAATGTTAATATTTGGACATCAAATGCTGTGGATGAAGGAATACCAAAGACCTTCTGTAAGAACCTCCATAAAAATTAAGTAGCAAAGCTAACCTCACATAAGGGACGAGCATAATTTATCCAAGTCTCTTTTTGAAACGTTTATTTGAAATAACTGTAATTTCTGCTTATTGTAATTTACTCACCCACATTAGGAAGGTCTTTTCTATAATAGATGGGATGTGCTGTCGCCTAGAATACGCATTGAACTACAGCGGGTATTAGTGGGAGTTCTGCAGGCACATGAGCAAGGAGCTAGCTCCTAGCGTGTACTGGGCTTGCAACTGTACCACACATACCTCTTACTAAATCCTATTTTTACAGCTGTAAAAAGTTCCAATCAGTTTTCTTTCTTCTAACTTGTGGAGAGGTATCAGAATTATTACACAGTACTTAGAGCGCTCAAGTACTATTCCTGCAATAGATGAAGACATGTATAATTATGGCATACTTGTCTTGTGCTCTTTCATAAAAAAATCATATATTTAAAAAAAAAGACTCCATAGTTAACTTTTATCTAACTATGACTTGATATAACTCAGTAAGTCCAAAAGAAAAAGAATGAATAAAACACGGGGGTGGGGGAAGGGATTTCTCTTCCAAAGGAATCTGGCAAAAAAAAAAAAAAAAAGAAAAGAAAAAGAAAAAAAAGCCACCACTTAAAAAAAAGTTCTAAGAAACCTGATGCCAGATCAGCAAAGAACTCAATATAGTTTGCTACAACTTCTGGTGCGTTTGCTATATTTTTTCTATGAATTTTATACATAAGTGTATAGTTATGTCATAGTCAAAGGCACTAAAATCTAAATTCATTTTCTTCCTAATATGACATCTGCTACTCACCAACCTGTTTTTAAAAAATCGAAGTGACTCCTCATTTGAAATCACCAGAAAGGCATTGTCTCATTACAAACGCGTTACTATGACTAGTCCTGACAGGGCTAGAGCACCCTTGGTTCCCACAGTGGAAGGGGAGACAAAGGTATGTACTAGCCTAATGGGTTATGTCATGTCTTATCAGTTAGACCCCCTTGATTCTAAAAACGTTTCCATATTGTCATTACCTCTCATTGTAGATATAGCAGCATCTCTTCATCCAAAATAAAGCTCTTTATATGTCACCCTTCAAATTTTGGCTGTCTGTGCTGGGTCTGAAGATCATGTATATAGCTACATGAAATCTTTACTGTAGGGGTGAGATATTGTACATATGACATTATTAAGAAGGTTATGAAGATGCAATTCATTGTCTAGTTTAATACCTGAATCTGATATGTTTAATTCCCTGCTACAGCTATTAATGCAAAAGCCATAAATGCCTAACTGTAACCCTTAAAACTTTCCTTCCATCCACAGTCACAGAAAGTCTTGATTGATATAATTCAATGTTAATGAAGTAGAAATTTAAAATTTCATAAAAAACCCAAGGGCTATATATGCTGCAAAAAATCTGCAGTGACTCAATAATAAAAAAACGTATGGGATCTTTGTAATAATGCAGTTTTCCCATCCGTTGCCACGATGAGCTTAACCGACTAAGGAGAAGCCTCAACATGGCAACGGAAACTATCATCATAAAATGGTACAGTAATAGAGATAGCTAGACCAAGAAGGGGCAGGGTCTCCTGGGAAGAGGTCTGCAGAGAGGTCCAGTGACTGGTCATGCGGCTCAGTGTCAGGAATAATGGTTGTACGGTGGAAGGGGGTGTCCAATGCCATTTTGGAAGTGATGATGCTGACGATGGTTAAGGTACTCTGCGTAGCTCATGGTCATCTTCTCACTACGGTACCTAGAAAGGAGCAAAGAAGCAAAATCAAGAAGTTTTACTAGGAAGCTATGAGTAGCGTTAGAAGTATAGCACTAGTTGTATGCTTAACAACGAGAACGGCTTTGTACTTCTCATGTTAGGGATAAGGCTAACCTCAGCTGCACAAGGGCAGGGAGATCACCACTGGTTTTCAGGGTAGTTATTCTTGAATCATACTCAGACAAATCACAACCTAAGTGCTTATGTAAAGATATTTCAAAGATACAGAACCGTTATAAATTGTTACCTGCATCGTTACTTGAGATAGAAGGAATATAAACTGATGATGACTTATTGAGAATGTCCCATGACCTCAGCAAACCATCTACACAAAGCCTAGGAGAAAACACTCTGGGAAAAAGCACTACAAGTCTCTGGACTCTTAAAGTAATAAACATCAACTGTCTGCCAAATTCTGCTTTTATATTAATCACAGCTACATCAAATGCACTTGCATCCTCTTCAGAGGATATGTAAATCAGAATCCCTGTCCCAACAACAGACATTTTGGATAAACTTAGCATCAGTAGTGTTCAACAACACAGAACACGTTGCCACGTCTATACTCATCTGTAAAACTGTAAATCATGTAGTTACACAAAACAATGCTGTTCTGTATTTCCACAGATATCACCGAGAACGACCCTGCATAAGAGATTTGACAAATACAGTGAATCCAGCTACAGTGGTTCAAAATGTTGCCACCTCCCCTGACTATCACAGTTCTTTTCTAGAATCCTTTGTGTTGTCCCTTTTCAGGCCTGAAAAAATACAACAGATGCCTCCACCACTTGCACTCACAGGCGAGCACAACAGTTTAAACTGCTGTTGGGTTGCCATTTGCAGCAGCCGAGGTGGCAAGCACATTTGCTTCTGTTGCCTCTGCTAGGGGAAGCCATCTTTGTCAGCAAAACAGATACAACTTTTTGCTGTGGTGCATGCGTTTCAGAGTACCAGGGAGCCTACATTTACTCGACACAACAACTTTTGTTAATAACGTACTAATTTAACAAATGGCCAGTGGCTCTAGCTGAGAGTTTAGCTTCAGCTCTTCTCGAGCTGATGTGAATGGAGTGGGGCATTCACTTACACTTGATGAGTAAGCTGGTCTGTGAATGAAATCCCCTGCCACTATGAAACTAAACCGTAAGCTCGGCAGTTAATGAAGCTGTGTGTAAATGGGTCAAAGCAGGCCAGAGGCAGCCTGACTGGAATCACAGCTGCTCACTTAAGGAGATGGAAAAGAAAATGCAGTTATCCTAGACCCTAGATACTCTGTACATTTTTCTCAGCTCTGCTATTTGCATGTATTTTAGCCCTATTCTTCAAAACATGGCCAGGACTACTAGCCATCAACTTGCAGTGAGGATAATTTACAATAGGGAAAAAAAAACCACTTAGAATTCTCCTCAACTGAAAGCTTTATTCGCCCACAGGACAATTCTTGACGAATACAGGAGCAAAAAAAGAACCAAGACCTCCGATCTTTGTCCTATAAAAGTGAGTAAACAATTAGGAGAATATTCAAGTATTTTTAAGTCTCTAAAATGAATTAGATTAGGTTTTAATTATGGACCAGGAAGTCAAGCCTGGCTTACACCTAGCTGCACTGCGAAGAAAGAATCTCCAAGGAAATCAGGACACAGAAAAAGTGTAATATACATATATATAAAAAATTAAAACTAATCTTGTGATCCTATGAGCCCCTAAAATTGATAAAACATAGGACAAAGCATTCTAACTACTAAATTTGTTAGCCATATTAATAGTATGTCAAGTGTAGCCTCCCTGAAGAGGGAAAAGGAACACGATGGGTGAAGAATTAATACTTCCTTATGACATAAGATTTATAAAATTCTTATTTCTCCAAGAATGGAAGAGATAACTAGAGCTCAACAGTCATTTTACACTGTATTCCCATAAAAATATGCATCTTCAGAGGCTTTCTTATAGGTGGGTATTCCTCCATCCTTCACCACATAACTACAATTTTATGGGCAGCAGATCTGCTAGTAATTCTAAAATATTTTAGTCCTCCCCCACCAACAAGCCTTCAAGAACATATTTTACTAAACAACACCACCACCAGTGCTGCAAATCAAAGCATGCTAGTGTGCGAGAGTGAGAGTATGAAATCGGATTCAGGGCTTCACTACTGAGAATACTACTCCATACTCACTACTGCCATAGTCAAAAAGGTAACCTGGCTGTCAGGTGGGTTACCCCGCTTGCGTACCTAGTGCAAGGCATACAAGGGGAAGCCGCTTTTCAAAAAACAACACAACAGCAACAAAAAAAAACAACAAAAAACCCACCAACCAAACCAACCCCAAGACACCTTCCTAGAGAACAGACTGTTCTCCAGGACCCGGCAGCAGGCCCACAGTATGCTCAAATACCATCTGACAATGGCAAGCGATCCCTGTGAACCACAGCCCCTGGAGATCTATCACGGGCAATGAATAAACTGGAAAAAACCAAGATCTAAATCACTGCTACGATTTTTCAAAGTTGTGATTTTAAAGCAGTAGTATGAAACCAAACATGCAGGCAGCCCGATACATATGCAGCCTGATATTTAATGACAGTCTGTTCTTCCTTGCTTAGCACCAGTAATGCCCGTTATGCTTAACGCAAGTCACAGATTTTCTCAGAAGTCCAAACTGCTATTGTGCAAATAAAGAAATTATTAACATATACAGGAATGGTTACTGATAACGTCTGAAACAACCACTTACCGTGAACGAACATATCACGATAAGAAAAACAACAGAATTTATCTGTAGTACCCTATGACACATACCTGGTTAGCTTTATGGTTTTCCTGAATTCATTAGTAATTGGAGCTTTGTAGCCTCCTTTTCTCAATAAGGAATCTATGGTCTGAATGTGGTCCCATCCTGTTGAATTTTATAGCAACAAAAGTTAGTGAAAAATATAGTGATAGAAATAGACGTTGCAAAAATACAGTATAGTATGCAGGTGGTCAGGTGAAGCTCACTCTAAAACATACAAAACATTCTTCTTCACTTAAGATAATTAAAGAAAATATGATGCATAGGATTTCTTTCTACGTAAAGTTTGTTGTATAAAACATCTTTATCTTGCAGTTGAAGTATTTTAAAAGTGGATCCACTATAACTCAGGTTTCCTGGATTGGGGGTTACATACAAAATTACGCTTTTCTGAAAAGTTAAGATATGATCATGTATCACTATCTCTTTATACATTATAAATGGATACAACAGTATGAAAAGTTAAATTTCTATCTGAAATACAATTTAAAAGATTTATTAGCTGAACATGTGCAAAGGACTTAAAGACTGGATTTTGCCATAAATGTTGGTGTTAACTTTGCAGTGATACTTCTCATTTCAGAATGACTGTATGTTATATTATGGGTGGCTGGTTAATAAAAGTGATGGATTAAAAATCCAGAAAGATTTAGGTTCGTTATTGTTTTTAAAGTCTTTCTGCTATTCAAAACTTCTCTACATTGACTTAAGAAAGCCTAATATTTCAAGATAGCAGTTAGATATGTTATTCCCAAAGGCATACTATGATTAGATTAGTTATATCATTACATTAAAAAGAAAGAAAAAAGAAAAAAAAGAATAGTTTTGGGTGCCACAAAGAGATCAGATCATTACGTATGGTCTATTAAGAATATTTAGAAATTTTTACCTAAAACTCAAGAATTTTATGAAACCTCCTGTAAGTGATCACCAAGGGTCTGGACAAAAACAGTTCTCTAACTGTCAGATCTTTAACAGAGAGAAAAAAAAAAACAAAAACAAAATTGCCTTGGAAATTCTCTAACCTTTAAGTGACTGGTTACAGAGAGAATTATTTATTAAAGATGATCTTTAGTGAAGGTTTCATTGAATTCTTTAGTACACCAAATCTGAACATAAAGAGGCAAAAGAAAAAATAAAAAAAAAAAAAAAGAGAAGAAAAAACCCTCAACAATGCAAAATGTAAAAGACCGAGACATAACGTCAAGCCTGGAAGAGAAAAACCATTAGAGAGTAATCCAAGTTAGCTGCTTAGCCCAACAGATTACTATTAAACAAAACCACCGTATATAGTTCTTTCAATTCATGAACTTAAGTCTGTGCCTCTATTAAAAGGGAGACTTTTACAATGACGTTATTTGGGCGTTCAATATGAAGCCAATCCTGTTCCATCTATCCAAAAAACCCATGAAGCCAGTGCTTTTAAAAGGGATTAAGTACCAGCAGCGAGTAGTGCATAACTGAAGAAAACTTTAGCAATGCAAGTTTAGGAACAAGTCAGCTGTAAAAAAATCTCTGACCAGACATCCCATCACTTAAGAGAGTTTCTGCAAGCCACTAATACCACAATATGACAAATATATGAAAATTAGCAGCTTTTAAAAGTTGTAAAGATGGTCAATAGCACTGTACCACCCACTCCATATTTTATTCCACATATAGCTATATGTCCCTGTAAGGGGATCGATTTTATACAGACATGTAATTTGCATGTTATAGAAGAGTCTTTTCTTACAATTAAATATTGCTCCATCATCTGACATCAGTGCAAGGTCAAATATTGCATTTTAGATTTATATGTATGTTTAAATTCTTCACCAGATCATATGAAATAAAGTGCAACAATGACCTTGCTCCTTTGCAACCTCCGGTAAGTAGGTGGCGGTGCGTTTTGATCCTTTTTCATTGATGAATTCTATTCTAATGCCATGTACACCCACCTGCAAGAAATTGGCAGTTTTATTAGTACATTTAAAAAAAAAAAGAAAAAAGAAAAGAAAGAAAGAAAAGAAATTTCTAATGTAATAAAGCCCAGAACGCGAACCTTTCAGTGGTTAATCCCCTTTTGGGATAGCTTCAAAAGACGGTACAGAGGTGAGTTTAGTCCACCTGACAGCCTTCAAGGTCAACAGCAGCACAAATCTCCTCCTCATGCCCCTGCAGGGCGCCTCAGTTCTGGCACCTGCGTCCCCGACACTGCCAGTAGCGCTGGTGCTCACAAGATCCCCCCCCCAGCCACCAGAGTGACTTGAGGCCATAAGCTGTTTTGCTGGCAATCAAACAGCCAGAAAAATCTACTGATGCTTCGCCTGCAAGCCAGTTTTGTCTGAAGTAACAACCTAACGGTGAAAGACTTGCCACACTGCCAACCCAAACCTGGAGCCCTCAGAAATTTTGCGAGTGTGTGAAGAGGAAAAGGAGGTATGCCAAAGTGTGAGGAAGACAGTCAGCTTCAGTTCTGTCTTCCCATAGTAGTAAGTACTCCAGTATGACACAAACTGGAAACCAAAATACCTGATACCATGGAGTTAAATGTGCATGAAGCCTAACTGCCCAAAGGAAAGCGGCTGGGCACCTTCTCCAGGTAGCGTTCAAGAGCTCCATTTCCAAGGTGCAAGGATGTCCCTGTGAGCACCCGCGCGGGCTTCAAGCATGCCATGAGAGCTCTTCCACTGACAGGCAATCTGCAGTTGCTTTTGAGTTATGGGCATAAATACATCAGCAGACTTGAAGTTTTGTTCTCATGCCCACATAGCTCAGATTTTATTTCTGTTTAAATCCTGAAGTTCCCAAGTACATGCAGAAATGAATAGTTTATGTTTAAAAGAGCATACTGTTAAGTAGTATGGCACTTGTGTTTGAGCACAGCATTTTTGATGCAATCGATTTTGTAATAATTTGCCCATTGACAACCTATTTTACCATAACTGCGTGACTGTCAGAAAGCAAGTAAGGCATGCTCACAAAGCTCTAAATAACCAGTTGCTCAATTGACATAATTGTTTGTATTAAGACTTTTTTTTTTCTCCTAATTAAAGTTTTGTAATCTTCAAAATGAGCATGGGGAAACGGGAAGAAGCCTCTCTGGTGGCCATGACCACGACAGTTCTCCCCAGGAATCTACTGTTTCTTAAAGAGAAGTTGTTACTTAGAGACTGAGATATTTAATTCACTGCTAATACTCACCTAGTACTCCTTAACCTAACCTTCAAGACTATAGAGATCAAATCTATATGCTCAGATGATGTACTTATCAACCTAAAGGGCCTGGAACTAAAAAGAAATAGTGTTAGAAGTTGCAATGAGCCTACCTAGTTTATTTCTAGAATAAGGACAGAACGATATGTTTTTAAGAGCTACAAGAACACTGCAAATGAAGATCAGAACTTAAGACCCAAACATCTCGTTTTAATAAAATTCCTTTGCACGTGCTTGCTTATGTGGATTTTACAAGGCTTTATTAGAACAGCAAAAAAGTACAGACCAAATTAAAGGAACTCTATAATTTCAGATTGCCCTAAAATATAACTTTCCTCCAACTTACCTACGTATATGAAGCACAATCTGTTTTTATTTTCCTAAAAAGTATCAGTCAGTCCTCCGAAGCTCAACAGCTTCTGGGTCTGGCATATTGTGAAGTGTGAACAGGTGAGAACTGGGATGTCCTGATGCATAAGACGGTTACTGCTGGGAATAGCTCAGAGCCTAATCTAAGAAGCAAGCACTAAGCAGCAGAAAGGGGAAGGATCCAGCAGCGGTTACAAAGGTAAGACATAGTTAAAAAGGCTAGCTAATATATGCTATATTATTCTATTCTGTTTTAGATCTTAAAAAAACAACATAAAAACCATGTCTACTTACAACTTCTAGAAATAATTTAATGTAGCCTTTTCATAGGATCATTTTCAGGCTATTAAACTTTTATCAATTTCCAATCTGCTTCTGTTAGGTAATTCTCAGAAAAGCCTGCCATTTTTGCTAAGGCAACATCCTATGAGAATATTGACATTTTGGTTTGCAAACTATCAGAATGTCAACACTTCATTGATTTTACTCCCTTCCCTGAACAAAAGATGATGTAGAAGAAAAAGATTAATCAATAAGTCTAGCAATTTGGTGGTGGATCATCAAAAACACTTTCCATCAACACTGAAACTCATTTTTCTATTACTATACATGGGAGGAAAAAAGAAAGATCTAGCAGGGTGTAACTGACAGCTAGCAACCAAACCACAAATCACTAAGTTTGTATATAAATTTTGTAGGTAAAGTTGGTTATGCTGCACTGAAAAAAATATTACTGTAGGTAACCGTTGGAAAATTGGATTTACTTAGAAAAAATGGAAAAATGCATTTGTTATTCTTGTAACAGCAACACCACATCAGGCAGTTATTTATTGGCTAATTTTCTAACTACATACATTCAACTACATAAGCACTAAAACCTAATGCTTTGTTTTTGCACATCTTTGAATCCTGTGAAGTATTAAAGATTCAAACTTCCTGCACAACATTTTTTCCATAATAGCAACCACGCAGTATTCATGAGAAATTAAGCAGGGGCACCACTCATGTATGAAACACGATGCGGCACTCGACCATAGGTAATTGCATTGCACTAGATGTTTCCCATTCACCATTTTAATGGACTTTTAGGCCCATGTCCATGCAAGAAAGATTTAGAGCAAAACGAGTAAGGCAGCACAATCGCACCCACAATTTCTCTGCATTGGGAAAATTTCACAGCGTTCTGTGGAGCATGAATTCCAGCTGCTTAGCTGAGCACAACTTGCAGTCCAGTCCAAATGGCTTTTCATTGTTTGGCTCCAGTTAAACAAAAACAGGCCTAAATTAAGCCAAAGGAAGCCGCAGACAAGCCAAGTAAGAACAGTCCACGCTAGGATTGGCATGGGCTCAGTCACAGCAACTTCAATGTGTTTATTTGGACTTCCTCAAGAGACCAACTTTCCTGCATAGATGAAGGCTCCTGTGAAATTCCCAACAATATTCCTCTCAGGTGGGAAGCGAGGGGTGGCTACACGTTCAAAAGGCATTACCTGGACCGTAACTGTCTTGCCTGCCAGGCTTGGCACAGAACTTAATCTGCACAAAGCCTATGGTGTGCTTCTCAAATTGAATAAAATTACTGATTTAGTACATACTGCATCTCAGCCAAGTACGTGTGGAATAATAACACCTGTGCAGTGCAGAAAAACAAGCCAGACAATATTCTTCCGCCGACGGAGTTTCAGCTCTGTCTTGTCTATTATCATTTATTAGGAAACGAGCACATATAGATATCCCACTGTGCTGCACCATAATCATAAAAGCTGTATACTTTTTCTAGTATCAGCCTCCCAAATGAACAGAGGATCTATTTCGAATAACTTGCTATTGGGTAAGGGAAGCCAAACAAGGAGAGACCTGAAAAGGCAGCAACCAATCTGTTCCTCAGAAACATCTCCGTAGGGTTTTGCAGTATGGAGTAATACCATTGGATATAAACTTCTTGTCCTGCTGTGTAAGTAGCCAGAGACTACTTAGAACTAGCTCCAGAGGCTACATTGATTCGAAAACACAGACCTTTCATTAAATTCAAGGATTGTATGAAACTACATTTTTTATTTTACTTCTGAAGCGACCTCAACAGAACTTCAGACTTTGCTTTGTATTAAAACAGGTAAGAAAGTGCAGGACTATATAGGATCGAAAATTTCCATACTGATCACATATTTTGCATTTTTACTTAGCCATTTCTTAAAACCGCTTACAAAAGCATTAATATAGACAATTTGATATCCCAGTTAGCTATTGGCACAGATTGAGGACCAGACCTAAAAATCTAGCCTGAACTTCTACTATTTTGTTTCAGGATGGGGAAAGGAAACGCATTACATATTTACAGTTTTGCCAACGGCTTCTGTCACTTGATGGATTACTGTGGATAGTATGCATCAGCCGGGCTAATATCAAATTGTTCCCAGATCCACTCTGGGACCTAAGTTAAGAAATGCTCCAGTTTGAGTGCCTGGTTCTGACTCAAAGCCCCAAAGTTTACAAACCTCCTCTTGTACTGACCCCCTAGCTGGAGCCAGAGGAAGAAATAACACTATTTTCGTTAGACTGTCAACTGGGAATTTGAATAAGCATCTGAAACATCAAGCCTTGTTGCAATTTAAGCTTTTAATCCACAGTGAAGTAAATTATTATCAAATAAACATTCTGTTCAGTTTTATCTACTGCATTGAGATCTTTAAGACACTTGCATATAATTATCACTAATGAGCTCGTAGAATGAATTAATTGCAAACACTTTCTGAAATATATGAAGGCAGATAACAACGGGGTCTCTTATAAAGACAGCAACGTGTTACATGCTAGCTCTGGTAGCACAGCATTTCCCTGGAGTGAGAAATAAGTTTCTTTCTGCTCTTCAAATTCGCTCGTTATTCGCCTTCACTCAAGTCTACAAACGTGGCACAACTTGCAGTGCCGGCACGCTACTCACACTGCGACAGACTGCTTCCCTGCCCCTCTGCTCTGCCTGCACAAGCGTTGTGGAGCCACACACATGATGAACTAGATCAGCCTGCTCTGGGTTACAGCTAATCCTTTTACCCACTTGCTGCATATGAGCTCAATTTTTGAACAGTAGCAAGCTATGAAGATTTTCAAGGAAATAAATTAGTCTATAAAGATTTTCAAGGAAATAAATTAGTCTGTAACATAAACAGGATTCCTTATGATACCATGTAAAATAGCATCTTTCCCTTTTATTTACTGGAACTAGTACTATGGAAATAGTGGTACACACACTTATCTGTAAATAGAACATTTCAGATTAAATGAAGATTCCTGCATTCCTAGAAGCTGATCCCACTTTTTAGTGACTGAGATCTGCAGCTTTTTAGCACCAAATTTGTAGCAAAGATGCTGGCTTCATTTGGATGCTCTTTAATAGGGCTTAAATATTAAATTCCGATTTAATAACGGATGCAAATGCCTGCTCAAGAAAGATGCTCTCCCATTCATGACACGTTTTTTTCTTAAATGAATCATTTATTTACAAGTACAGAATCACTGAATACTGCCCAAAGAGCATAAAATACTGAGATCAAGACGATTTCTTCTCTGTTCTAAGCGAATAAGCAGCCAAAGCTGCTGGTGCCACTGCACTCCTTTGTGGGAGTGGTGGGGGGAACGGAGGAAGGAAACGAAATCCCACAGCTCTTAGACACCTGTCAGCCTTCGGCAACAATGAAAAGTCGCCTTTTGGTCAACATTACTGGCTACAGCTAGTTAAGCTAATATTTAAACCAGCGTATACAGGCTAAAGGCCTTTTGTAACAACGGAGCAAGCACGTACAATTCTGTAGATTTATTTTACTGAAGAAAAGCAATTTCAGGGCAAACCTCTGTTTCAAGGTATTTTAAGAAGCGGCAGCCGATCAATTCTAGTTATTTATTACTCCACTGGAATTATAATCATGTTTTCTAAAAAGTTTCCTCTTACAATGTTGTACAATCAAAATGTTTTATGACACCGTAACAAGAAAATTGGGGGGGGGGGAGAGCATCTGAATCAGCAAGATAGGCTTTACCTTGTAGTGAAAAAGCACAGATTCTTAGTGAAATGAGTGAGGAAAAAGTGATAAAAGGATAACAAGCGCTCATTTGCAATAATATGAGATTAAGCTAGATAAAAGAAATCAAAGCAGCACTTCGCTTTTCTTCCGTATTTCGAGAACATAAACATGCAGAGATAGATGCATGAATTTGCCCTTCTAACGTATCTCGTAGCCTGCCCTCTCAAGTAGCCCGGCCTGCAGCCCCAAAGCTGCCGTCGCACGACGCAGCGCATGAACCTAGCCGTTTCTGGGATACAAATTCACAAACTGAGGCTTTTGGTTACAGGCTCAGTTGCCCACGTTGCAGATCTAAGCTTCACACACCAAACAGAAGTTAGCCCATAGGGCCCAAAGCCATAAAACTTTGCAGCAGTCTACGCAACCCTTTTTTACCCTCCTTCCTTCTTCCGGGTGCCGCAGCTCCGCCGCGACAGGAGATGCAAGTGTGCCTGCAGGCAGAATCAAAGGCAAAGCCGGAGGGATCCCGAGGAAGGGATCCTCATTTGTGCAGGAAAGGAAAGACTTGGTGGAAGGACAGAGATGAAAGCGAGGAGCTTAAGGAGAACGCAAAGGTGGGGGAGGCTGTGCTCGCACGGCGCGAACGACTGCAGGATCACTGCAAAGGGAGGGAGCCCTGCCACGTGCATGGAGCATCAGCTGTATTTAGCAACAATTGGTCGTTATGAATTGTCTCCTGACTAGCCCTGATCCGAGATACCTGCCCGTTGATAAAGGAGCAGTACTGCTATGAAAACACATCCCAGAGTTTCTCACATTGCCCGTTTCTTTGTGATGGAAAGGCTGTGACACCCCCCGCCAGCGGCAGCTGGACCACAGCAAAATTATGTCACGGTTCTGCTCAGCAGCGACGAGCAAACGGTTCACATGCTCCCGGGGTCGTTTCAAAGCCCCACACCTGGTCAACGACTGCAGCACAGAGCAATTCATACCCGGTCACCGGTAAATAAGAATCCCAATTTATATTTTAGGAAGTGTCTTCAAGAACCGCCACACTGAAATGGTCTTTTAAGAGCAACTAGGAGAAAATATAAACCTTTATAAAAGGTGAAAATGGCAGCAATTTGGAAAATCATATGGGAGCTAATGGCAGTCAATTCACTCATGCCTCCTGTTTACTTGGCTGTAGTCTCTGCTGCGAAAGGGTCTCTCATTGCTTGTTACAACTGAAATACTGATTTCTTCAGTTTAGGCAAACAATTAATCAGAGAAAGGAAGATCTATCACTCTGCTTCAGGATACAGGAGCCCCTCCTGAGCCATGTCTTCAAATGGTCTTGTCTCTAAGCCGCCAGAGCGCTACAAGTTGTCTGAATCTGCAATTTTGAATTGTTCTGACCTCCCTCAGCAAATTGCTGAATTAGCTCCCACAAGATCATCAGTAGCATACCTACAGAAGTAAGGTCTCCTAACCAGGCTGATGTTTTTCATTAAATCAGACGGCAGATGCAGAATCTCTCTTTACGTCACATTCTAGCCATCCTGAAATGTCTTTTTGCCATTAACATTGCATAACTGCAGCTCCCTTAAAAGAAACATGGATGACATAAGCTCTCTCACTGACAGGGGCACATACAGTGATGAATCATTCTTTTAAGGAGTAACAATGACAAATTTTCTCTCATATTTATTTATTCCCCCCACCTCCCCCTTTTGCATGGAAACCCTGCACATTATCTCTAACTATATATGAAACAGTCACTTTAGAAGCATGTTTATCTGTAGGAAGGAAAAGAAAATAGAAAAAAAGAAAAAAAGAAAAAAAGAGAGCAATCTGACATGGGACCTATATTGTAATCGCTTCTTAAAATTCCTAGCAATTTGCTAAAGGCTTTAAAAGCCTAGTATTAAAAAGCTTTAAGTGAAATAGGAGAGAGTGACCAAGTAAATGGATAACACGTGGACTATTTTTGACCCCTCCATTCTCCCCCAATAAGTTAGGCCTCTCCAGTAAGAAGAGTCATGAGATACCAGAAGGTGACTTTTTACAGAAGTTAACTCAGCAAAAGTAAATTTCTGTATTAAGTTCCATAGACTAAAGTTTCAATTTTTATAAAAACTCGTTTCCTCTGTTGTTGAATTCTGAAGAATTCTGCACTAAGATATAGAAAGCAAAATCCTCTGTTTCATACAAGCATTAAAGTCATGAACTAGAAGGTGGTCTCCAAGGAACAAAGTCCAATCTTTTCAAGGGAGAGTGGATTTTCTGAGCCCAGACTCTGATTTAACCTTTTTAAGGATGAATATTTTGGTCACCATAAAAGTTTATTATTGAGAGAATAAAATAGCACCTAATAATAATTTGAGTCTATAGCATGGACATAGCTAAACATTACCTGGCACTTCGCACTTGGAGAGACATTTTCTGAGTGTATGCAGAGTCTAATTTTTAATAAATTTAAATTAAATGGTTAAATCCAAAAACGTCATTACGACAAGCACCAAAAGTTAACCTAGTACACTAGGAAAAATTCTAGAAGTCAAAATTATAACTGGTAGTCTTTAAGGTTTAATATTAAAAGTCAAGATAGTTTTGAATGCTTGCCAACATTGTTTAAAAAAAATAAAGATACTTTTAGGGCCTAGAGACAAGACAGATGACTCTCCTGAAGAAAAGCTACTTCTCGTTTAGAATGCACACAAAACTGCAGCTAGTCTTTTTTTTTTTTTTTGTCTAACATTAAGCAATGAGTAATTCTGTTTATGGTGAAAATGCTGATTTATCCCAAAGGAAACATATGTTCATCATATTCTGTAGTGGATATCAGAAGATAGGAAGCCTTTGTCATTATGAGTTGAACAGGACATGCATTTTTATTCGATTTTTACCGCAAAATTCATACTGCTGAGGTTACAGCTTGAGACCACCACAGTTGGGCCCCTTAACTGTTCTAAGTGAACAAAATTTCTATTCAATATACTCTTGTTATGTGTCTGCTCAGCATCCTAAGTATTTAGTAGGACTAAATCATTATAAAAGGGGAATATTGGAATTTGTGTGGTATCTCTGGTATTATAACACGTCCACTGCTGTATACGACAATTTCAAAAAATGGTTTACATCTCCCATGATACAGACTAAGAGCAACACAACAGTTATACTGGCTGAGATAAAAAGTTCATCTAAAGTCCAGTAATTTGGTTTCTTTTTTGCAGGCATCTAAAAACAAATAACATGGGAAAGAGCATAAGGATACCAATTAACACTTCCTTCAGTGCACTTTCCCAGAAATAAGTCTAAAAGCAGCATTTGCTTCTTAATCTGTGTTTTATGCTGCTGTCCCAAGAGAACGCATGCAGGTTTCCTAGAACCGAGCGAGTATAACAGGTTCTGCTCCATGCATAATTAGCAAACAAAAATAAGAGCAGTGATTTACTTGGCCTCACTCTATAAGGGGTTTGCGGGGTCTGTACAGGCCAGGCGCTCTGAAAGCGAAAAAGGGTTTTGGGAAAGATAAATGGCTCACTCCTACAAATGAAATGAGATAGTTTGGGCTGGGATTTCACTTTTGCAGTGCACGTTTCCAGAAGCACACATCAGGCTATTAGCTTTCATACTAGTACATCCTCTTTCCAGACTCAATGCACTGACTGCCAGGTTTCTGTACTTAGCTGTGTTGCAAGGAAAGTCTAAGGACATCATCACTCAGATGATACTTTGCATTATGGAGTCTTAAGAAAAGAGGCAAACAGGAGCTATGAAGAGGACTCTTTTTACTCTGACTGCTTAAATGGACATGAAAACAACTTTATTCCATTTTCATCCCTCAGACTTCCAAGATGATGGCAATTCTACCAAAACAATCTCTTACATCTATACACAGAGTGCAAAACAATGGCAACCACACTAAGTGTGTGGAGAGAATTTAAGTGTTGTGCCTTTTGCTACAGAGGGTCATAGCAAAGTAGTTTTCTTAAAGGACATCTGAAATCCTTACCTCCCAATCCATGTAATCACATACATCTTCAAAGTTAGTGAGTAGAGACACTGAGCAGGAAAGCCGTGGCAGCTCATCCCTCGTCATTGGGGGGAAACGACTATCTTTAAGGGCACTGTTGAAGACAAAACAGAATTTCAAAGATTTTTTTTTTTTTTCTTTTTTTTTTTTTTTTTTTAAAGTTGAAGGATCAAATGAAAAGTATAAAGCACAAAAAAACCCCCACCAAACAACCAATAACCTGATGAAATGATGAACATTTTGCTAATTCAGTTGTCAATGCAATAATACACTCAACAACACTCCAAATTCTTCCCTTAGATGTTTGTTTCAGGTTTCTTGACTGGCCAGTCCAATACGCGCTCTAAGTTATCATTCCTTCCTGAGCTGATTTTGCTACTGTGACAATCTTATTAATGAAACAGCAGAAAGTTTTTGGAAAAAGTTGAAAAACATGATAAAGTGAAAGAACAGCTCTTCCTCCCAAAATTCAGTAAATCCTTTTCAAAAAAGGTTAAGCTATACAACACTAAACAATGGAGGAAATTCTATAGCCTGCAATAATCAAACAGCTAATGCAGTAATCAAACTGTAACACTTGTTTAATGAATCACTGAAAAAAAATCGAAACAAGCAGAATATTCTCTAAACAAGAGAAATATTCATGCTTACTGGCAAAGTTGACTATAAGAAGGTAAAAATGTTCAAGAGTACTAGAGATCTGTTAACCTACAGGACTTGGAGCTGTTCTGCAAAGCAGAGGTAATGATTAGTAACACAGAAGCTTGCAAACAGCTAAGCCAAGCCCCAAGCTATGGTACCATTATATAGACAAGCACACACCTAACGGGATAAAATGCAATGCAAAGAGAAACTATCCACATACACGCCAAAGCCCCTTGATAAAGCAAACACTAACAGAGACACAGTAAGCAGTAGCAGGAATAACAAAATCTGTAAGAACCTACTTGCTTAAATTTGGTTCGAGAACCCATTAAACTGGAAAGGGGAAGGTTAAAGTGAGTCCAGTACCACATCACTGCTTATTCTCTTAAGATTTGGGATGTGTCATACATGACTACGATCACGCTCATGTCCAACAACAGCAAACAGCAATCTGCTAACTGACCCTTTTGGCAAAGGAGGAGAATTTAACGTTAAGAGGCTTGTAAAGTACTACTAAGTTCTTCAAGTGTCTCATTGCTTCATGTAACAGTTTGGTCAATCCTATTCATTTCCCTGGCATACAGCCAGGCATTGCCATTAGGACCATGGTGCTTAGAATACGGCTGAAGTTCCTGGATCAGCTACAGCCATTTGCTGTGAAGAGCAGTATAACTTTATTAGGGTCGATCAAAAATTATACACAAAAAAGTGTAAATCTAAGCTAGTGGAAATTATCATACGTACATCCAGAACTAGCATGCCATCATGAACTAATGCCATACACTGCATAATTTAAACAGATTTTTTTTCCTCCAGGAAAGGCACGGGGGAAGCAAGCTTTCTTTAGATATGCTGATTACAAAAAAGGAACACAGGATGGGAATTACCAGGGGCCCTTCTGCAACCTTTGGTATTTCCATATTATAAAAGGAGTAAGAAACTGAGAATTTCATTTTGGAGACAAACTCATTGCATAATTGCATAATGGCCAGCAGGTTCTCTCTACCCAGTATTTAGGGGTAACACTAGGCAAAGTCAGTTAAAGCTGCCATAGGCAGGAAAGATGATGTGCAGACTGTAACTAACTAGTGAAGACAAATCTTTCGACTTCGCTTATTTACATAGGATAGATAGGGCTATGCAGACACACAGAAGAACTGGGAACTTTGGATGGGATGCTAGTGAGATTTAAAGCATAACGGCAGTGAAATTTAACTGATGACTTCCACTGATGTATCAAAAAATGATGTTCACCACAATACCCTTGCCAGGATTCGCAAAGCTACCTTTGCAACTGCTGAGAACCACAGTTACCTTCCTTGCCCAGTGTCTTGGAGCAACATCCAAGATCAGCTTGTAGAGCCACAGCAGAAAAATAGCAAAAGGTGAAAATCTGAACCACCATTCAGTCTTCATACCCCTCCACATGGAAAAAAAAAAAATACATGTGTAAAGGACACTCCAAACACACGAAGAGCTGTACCAAGTCAAACCAGAAGTCCATCCAGCCCAGTATTAAGTAGTAACCAGAAGCAGATGCCAGAAGTAATGAATATAAGACTAAATAAAATAGTAGATATCTAGGGATACCTTCCTGGAGTGCTCTCCTGGAATCTAGCTGCTTACAGTTTAGGGATTTTGAGCCAGAGATGGTATCGCTGCATTTAAAAGCTCTCAATGGGTTTATTTAATAAGTACATGGGTATATGCTCTCGTCGTGTTCAGAAACCCCAAGCCTGTTCTAATTTGATGTTTTGGTTAAGAAAAATGCTATCTAAAACCCACCGCTGCTGCAAGTTTGCTGATATTCAAATTTCTGATTTCCCTGAGGCACACTGTACCTCTGTCACATAGCCAATCTATTTGAATACACGACTGAAAAGCACTGACAGGCATTATTTTATTAAGAAATGACATATTCCAGTTACCGTAGGAGACAACCGTATGCACAGATAGTGCCAATACTTGTTTAAACTTATTTTTCATAATTTATGCAATCTTATCATGCAAAGTATTTCCCATACTGTATGCATTCACAACCTTCAGAAAAACATCAATTTTTGCAAAAATACTTAACAAATTTAGGAATTTATGCAACTTTCACTTCCTAAAGCTGCTAAAACGCTCTTGTGAATTTAAACGTGTGGAGGCAAAGGCTTATTATGGGTGAAAGCGTGATCTCAGTAACATTAACAGTAAGCGTCAGATAAATTCCCTAGTTACTAAGGAGTAACTGGGTAAATTCCCAGTTACTAAGGAGGAAGATCTGCTACGCTGACATTACTAGATGAGAAACCATCCTTAATCTAACACACCTGTAAAGTAGTAGAGAAATGATATATATCACGCAAGCAAGCCATGTCTCAGCTAGCCTGCTGAAACGTGCTGATAATATTCGGAAACAAGATGGGTCATGACACATTTGAATACTGATGAAAATCTGCGATATGAAACCTTCACGTGAATACAGTGGAAGCAGAGAGGCACATACGACAGCAAAATAGCCTCAAGCATATACGATGAACAAAACAGTTCAATTTTAGTGAAAGCGGAGCAATGCACTAGGAGTTACCTGTGTTACTGACAAGCTGAACTGGCTAATTGCATTATGCAGTAATACCAAACTGGCACAAACATCTTGCTTCCGTGCAACTACCTCACAATCACTGATACACTGGTTATCAAACCGTAGCGCCATCTCAGTTTTACCTGAAGCAATTCTTTCCCAGTTGCCAGGTTTTATTTTATCTGCGAGGCCTGCTGAAAAGCTGCTCCTCAACACCTCCGTCGCTATACATGCCTGCGCACGCGCCCTGCGCTAACAACGCTGCTGCTGCCGCCGCCACCACCAAAAAGTGAACTATCCAGCAGAACCAGCTGATCAGAGATTTGATTCAAAGTCCGGGAAACAGCTGTGTCTGGTATATTACTCATCAGTATGGAGTATTGCTACTATTGTATCCCTCCTTTCCCTGTCTCCAGATCCTCTATTACAACCTGTTTTCATCTTTCAAATAGCTTTGACTTCATTGTTATATAATTAAAACTAAAATTGATTTGGAGAAGTTTATGTGGACAAAGAATCAACAATTCGAAGAAAAAGTACTGAAGGGAGATGCCAACAGGAAAGCATTAATTTATACCAAATTACACAGAATATCTATACAGAACATATTAACTATTCTGTCTGCTAATACAACATTTATGAAATTAGTATAGTCAAGCACTTATATCAGGTATCAGATTTAATAGATCTAGCTTAAACTTAACAGCCCTGCCCTAATTACTTTGATCTAGGTGCATCATATACTCCTTCAAAACTAGGACACATTTACCTTAAGGGCTGTATATTACAGTTGCAGAGCATCAGACTCCTTATTGGTCATCCTTGTACTACTAGCATGGTTGAAACTCTAAAAGAAATGCTCAGACATCTTAAGACAAGCTTGGTATCACCTATACCCAGATAAACTGTTTTCAGTTTTGTATGTTTTAATGTGTGGTTAACAGGAGACATACACCTCTTCAGAAATGCAGCCCTTCAGAATTCAGCCACTATCCTGATTTAGGACTGCATTGATTCAGTAAGCCTTTATCTCTGTAGGCAGTGAATAAACCACCATGGACTGGCTGTCACTAAAACCAGGGACGGTACCCAGGACAGTGGCACATCACACAGAAGCTGTGTTCTCAAGGCTCCTGAAGCCCAGCATCGCCTTTCGGAAACGCCAGCAGACCTCCACGTTTACCGAGCGTCAGAAAGCTTGCACGAGCTTTATTTGGTTGTTCGAGTGCTGGGGAAGAGAGAATTTCTGTTTCTAGAGACAGCAATTTGGTACTTATCAAACACTGAATACAATCTACAAAGATGCATGCATGGGAATTGACACTTCTGCCTTGCTTGTCCTGTTGGTGACCGATTTAAAGTAAACATAAGAGATAGACAAGATAATAACGTATGCTTCCTTTCACAAAAATTCATCATTGATCTGAGCTGTTTGCATTGAAAAGTCACTATATCAGTGTGTATAGCCGCTCTTGATTTGTACAGGATACTTTGCTGTGTTTATTTGATGGAAGCATTAGTTTTGTAGTATTAGAACACGCTTTATTCAAGTGCATATTCTTCTCTTAAGCCTCCTGTTAGAGAGATAAAAGTATTCCATTTGGAGCAAAGACTTGCATATTAAATAACGGGTTGAAAAAAAATATTAACTCCACAATTTTTCTATTAAACTTAGAGTAAAAGAAGGCTAAGTAGAAATAGTTAGCAAAATAAGTTGGGAAAAAATAGAACGCAAAACAGCTTTTAAAGAAAAAAAAAAACATAGATTTTAAAAACACTTTCTAAATCATCTGTTCTTTATTTCTTAATGCCCAGAACTAATTTGCATGTAGTGTGCTGACTAAATGGAAGTACATCATACCGAAGAAAAGAAGCAGTGCCCA